GCCTATATATTACTAAACAATTCATTTTGTTTTTAAGATTATGTTAGAGCTGTTAGGTGGCGGTATGTCTGTCTTCAAAAATACAAATTTAGAATACAAATATTACATTTTATTGTTCACATTTATCTCAACAGAAAGATTATCTGAATTTATTTAGAATTGTGTTTTGGTAATTAAAAATTATAATAACGAACGTTTTTTTTTTTTTTTGCATTGACTAAATAAATAGGCTGAAAATGTTGAGATTTTCGCAGTAAAACGTTGTTAATCAGTGAAACTCTCCATGTTAAACTGAATTTGTATTTTTTCTGGATTTACATGGAAATAGATAATGTTGGTTCTTTTAATTATTATATCTAATATCAGCTTGCCACGCGGGGGCGAGTTTAGAGTTCCGTAAGTGATTGCACTTTTGTGCGATGGCCGCGTTAGCAACCTGTTAACATCGTTATTGTTTTAATTCTAATGTTACCGGTACATAAATTAGGTGGTAACCAAGGGCGTCGATCCGTTGTGAAAAGTTGGGGGATGAATTGCTAAATAAGGAAGTCTTGGGTCGTAGGCCCAAGCCTTGCCGGCCATGGGGAGCCCCCTGTGGGGGTCCAGGAGGCGAATCCCCCTGAAGCTCTGGCGTCTATAGCCTTTTATAAGTCGTATCTAATTAATTTTAAGGAATGCAATTAAAATTTATTTCCACACTATATTTTCAAAATACAGTGGCAGTCCCAAGGAAGGACTTTTTAAGAATATGTCTCGGAAATGGCACTCTTGGATGGTAAAAATGCTTTTTCAAAGCAGTCTCCTCGACCAAATTATTTACTTTTCCCTACGGGAGATCTGCTTCCCCACCCTTGGCACCCTTCCCTCACGGGAATCTCAAAGCAAATTATGATTATGGCACCTCCAGATGCCCCGAATTAATGGCACTCATTCAGAATTAATATTTGGATATTTTCTCAATTTTGTTTTAAATTTTTTAAATATATGTCCTACAGTCAATGTTAGAGATATTATGCTGTTAATGTATAAACAAATCCCTTTAGATCAGTTTTGATCCGGGTGTTATAGAGCGAGGATCCTTGAGTAGGGTCACCGCACCGCAGGGACCCCAAAGTTCGGTGGCTATGTGACCGCCGCACGAGAGCGCGCATACGCGTTACGCCACAGCATGGATAGCTGTTCTAGGTACACACATTCCGGTAATGCTAAAAACCCCGTCTTAGGTCTCCGTCTTTTGGCCTTTTTACATCCTGGATTATGAAATCGTTGGAAGAAATCGACGTCGGAAATATATAGTTTAACGTTGTGTTAAGTCAATCAATAAAAAATTCAAAATTAGTGAGTGGTAAAATAATCGAGCTCTCCTTTCGCCCACTGCTGTGACCGCCACTGAGCACAGGTACACTTCCTTTTTTCCCTCTGACATCCCTTTTACTCTTCTCAATTTTTTCTCCCTCTTTTTCATTTTTCGGAGGGATTGACGGGAGGCGGATCCGTCCCTGCATGATGTCATGGCGGCATTGCGTCAAGTAACATCGGAGTTCGTAAACTTGTTGTGTCACTAGTTAAAAAAAGTCGAAATAGACAGACCTATCCGTGTCAAAGGCTGTATAATTATTGTTTAATAACGGCTATATCAAATTAAATTTATTAACTATAATTTTTTGAAGTTAGGAAAAGCAGGAATCTATGTATGCAGATAATATTGAACACTAGTATATACGGGCCTTAATAATATACAAAAGGAATAAATCGTTTATAGTAAAAATTGTGCAATTTTGAGTTCGTAAAAATGTTGACCTAATACTGTTTACACGCTTCAAATTTTAACGACGTACAGTAGGCCTCCTACATTGTTTTCATAAATTTAGCCTCTGATAACCGTTGCATCTATAAAATCGATGGAGTGGTTACTGAGATGGTTACGAAATGTACAAACAATTGCGTTTTTATTCAGTATTGGTCCGAAAATACGCATCGCACTTGGAACAAAGCACAAGTATATATAATGATATAATATATATAAACTCTAAATCGTCTTGCAGTAATGCTGTAAGTATATATAAGTCAATTTTTTAAAGTACGGCTGAAAAAAATAATAGCATATAATATAAATCAAAATAGCAGTTAATTTAAATTATATATAAATCAACAAAGAAAGGTAAAAACAGTGTTCTAATAATGGACATAAATCGTGTAGCAC